CCTGCTAAATAATTAGCAGACCAATTCTCTCGTTTCTCTGCGTCTCGTGGGTCTGCTAATGTTTGAACCAAGCGTTTAACATTGAAAATTCGCTATTTCAGCTCAAAATCAACCGATTTCCACCAATTTTTTTGTGAAAATTTTCTAATTTCAGACTTCTTCAAAAATAGCCTAAAAAGGTCTGAAAATTTTGCAAAAAAATTAGAAGAAAAAATCAAAGTTTCCTCTCGAAAATTCGAATTTTGCACTTAGCCAATTTTCGAGAGAAAAAGTTGATTTTTCGCAAAATTTTTAGACCTTTTTCGGGTTTTCAGCTATTTTTGAAGATTCTTTTACGATTTTTCCTCTGAAAATTGATGGATGGGACAATGTTTGTGAGGATTATTGTAGTCAATTTTTGTCTGTATTCTGACGTGATTGTGTTTGCAACAACAAAAAACCTCAAAAATCAAGGAAAATAGATTCCTACAGTAATCTAAAGTAAACTTCAAGAACATTGTTCCAATTTTCAGACAAAAAATCTGAAAAAGAATCTTCAAAAACAGCTGAAAACCCGAAAAAGGTCTAAAATTTTTTAATTATTTAGCAGACCATTGCTCTCGTTTCTCTGCGTCTCTATTGGCCTGCTAAATAATTAGCAGACCAAACTTATTGATTTCTCCATAACTTTCTTCAAAATGCACCAAATTCAACGAAAAATGGCTCATTTTATTGCAAATCTTCACCTGCTCCGTCGTCATCTCCTTTCCATCCTTCTTCACATCCACATGAACCACCCCTTTCTCCTCAAACCAGCTCCGAACACCTCCATCAGCGGCTAGCCGGAAGCCTCCAATCTTGTTGAAATACTTTCTCAAATCGTTTTCCAGCGCTTTCTTATTCGAAGTTTCAGCGATAACAATGAAAAATGTTCCCGCCGGACCAATGATATCAAAAGTGTACTCGATTTCAGGCTTATCCTTCATTTTTTGCAGGAAATTCTTAAATGTGTCCAGTGGGAGGCCTTGGGCACGGAATTCAGTTTCTAAGTCGGCTAACTCTCGATTCAGCTTCAAATCGAATCCACCACGAGATGCAGCTCCTTTTACCTGGAAAATGGGAATAATTTGGGGGGTAGTTAAGATAATTAGGAACCTTTCTCAACAAGAAATTCGTCGCTTTCGACTTGATCATATCGTTTTTTCCTTTCGTCGCCTTGATATTCTGCCATTTTGAGTGCCCCTTCTGCTGATAAGCCGTCAGGTGGATCAAACGGCTTGTTTGTTGGAATTTTTGAAGAGTTTGGAGATTCTGAAGCCCAAAAGTAAGACGCCGAAGAGGGGAGAACATCTGAATTGTTTGAAAATTAAGGTCAATTTGTCGAAAATTAGGTTGAAAATCGATAAATCAGGTATTTGGAACGGCAAGAAAAGCCAAAATTGGTTTCAAAAATCGAGAAAAAAAAGAAAAACCCTTAAACAAATGTATATAAATAAAACCGGTAAAAATAGCCAAAATTACAAAAAAAGGGGAGAATCGGGATGAGCAGAAGAGATACAATTTTTGAGAAATTTTGTGAAAAATTGGGGGAAAAATCAAATAAAAAAGGGAATTTTTATAGAAGATCACAAAGGAGGCCTTAGAATGGATGAATTAAAGAGAAAAAAACCAGAAAATCAATGAAAATTGAGTAGGAAATGGGGATTTTAGAACAATTTATAGTGTTTCAAAGGCTAAAATTGGTCAAAAATTGATATAAAAAATTTCGAGCAAATTTTAAGGTTTTTAACACTAGAAATAGCTCCAAAATCCCTCAATCCACATATTCCACAACCCTCTCGAATCGCCGCATCGTTTGTCCATCCTGAACCATTTCCCGATTCAAAAGGGACACTCCCAACTGATGTTCCTTCTCGAATGGCTGAGCCATCAGTGTCAACCATCTCCTCGCCACCTGAGCCGCCTCATCGATGCTCAGATTCGTCGACGCCGTCTCCAGATACTCCTGCATCCAGCGTGGCAACTTTCCTCGCTTGTCCTGTCGCGAAAATCGCTTATCGGCGAAAACCATAAGACCGTAGTCGGTTTTCGAGCGGAGAGCTCGTCCCATGCATTGAGCAGTGTGTCGCATTGCGTCAAATGTCAGGAAATCGTTTTCTCTGAAAAAAAAACCGAAAATTGTCATTTTCACTGCCTTCAAATGATTGAAAAAAGCCAAGAATTGTCATTTTTGTAGTTTGTAGTCTCTCACCTGATACCAAAACTGTCCCTCAGGTACTCCAGCCGGGCTCTTAGGACTCGACTCTCAGTGTACATGTATGGAATTCCTAGCATGATAACGCAGCGTCCTGAAAAATAAAGATTTAGCAGGCCAAAGTGTGAAATTGGTCTGCTAAATGATTAGCAGACCCATATTTCGCACACCCAAAACATTAGCAGACCAACGAGACGCAGAGAAACGAGAGAATTGACTTGCTAATGTTTGAATGCTCTCTGACGCTCTGCGTCTCCGTAGGCCTGCTAAATAGCTAGCAGACCCATTCTCTCGCCGCGTGTGTGTCCTTAGGCCTGCTAAATAGCTAGCAGACCCATTCTCTCGCCGCCTGCGTGTCCTTAGGCCTGCTAAATAGCTAGCAGACCCATTCTCTTGCCGCCTGCGTGTTCTTAGGTCTGCTAAATAGCTAGCAGACCCATTCTCTCGCCGCCTGCGTGTCTTTCGGCCTGCTAAATAGCTAGCAGACCCAAATTTCTTCGTTTTGTCTATAACTTTCTTCAAAATTCGTAGAAAACTGAATTTCGGCTCATTTTGTAGCAAAACTCACCCAAATGATGACTGAAATCGATTCCCTCTGACACCTTTCCTCTCGCCACCGAAAACAGCACAGCTCCTCGTCCACTATCACACGCTTCCACATACTTCTCCAAGGCGGCAGATGTCTCCAGCGCATCGTTCGTTTCGATGAATAATAGTTTATACTTCATGAGCTCATCGATAATATGCTGTTCGTACCACACTCCAATCACATTCTCCATGTACAAGTAGCTAGTGAAGAACACAACCATTCCATCTGGCACTAACGATGCCATTTCTAGCACTAGATTTCCATAATTTCGAATTACGGCAACATCGGCACGTTGCTCGAATCTCGAGGTCATGGCTACTTGATCGTTTCCACGAGCAACCACCAGTGGAGCAAGACAAGGTCTAGCCAGGGTCATAGTGAAGGAAGCAACGACTGCTGGATCGAAATCCAGAATCTTTGGATACATTTCAAGAGGAGATAGTGTTCCAGATGTGATGATTACTGATTGATGACGATGGAGGACTGGACGAATGGCAATTGAAGCGTCGTGACAGGATAGAGTGATTGTTGCCATTTGACTTCCGTCTTGAGGTTCAACGATGACTGAGAATCCTTTTGAGTAGGTTGACACCAGTGTACACATTGTGGTCACTTGTGAGAGGGCCCAGACATCTCCGTTATCTGTGATTTCGAGGGTTCTGACGAGATTCGCGAGGCGTTCCGCGCAGAATCGCATTGGACGACGTTCGATGCACATACGTTCTTGGATGTCTTTCATGAATGCGGCTGGACTTTCGATGAGGACCTGTAAAACGTTATAGCTCATTATTTAGCAGACCAATACTCAAACAACATGCAAAAACGTATTTTCCAGTGGATTTACGGTCATTTTTGACCATTTTCAGGCCATTTCTGACCATTTTCAGGCCATTTTTGACTACGTTCAGGTCATTTTTGACCATTCTCAGGCTATTTTTGATTATTTTTACGCCATTTTTGACCATTGTCAGGTTTTTTTTTACCATTTTCAGCCATTTTGACCATTTCAAGGCCATTTTTGACTACGTTCATGTCATTTTCGACCACTCAGGCTAATTAGGACCTTTTAAATGCATTTTTGACCATTTTTTTAAAAGAGAAATTTTTATTTTTTCTTCGCTTTTTGTGCAAAATTTTTAGGCCTTTATAAGGTTTTCAGCTATTTTTGAGGATTCTTTTCGTTTTTTCAGGAATTTTTGATATATTCTACTTTTTTCTTTACTGTGTATATCAGTAGATCTTTACCGCTCGTCTCAGTACCTGGTACTGAATATTTTGGTCTGCTAAACCACTAGCAGCCCTAAATCCTAACCTGATGCGTTCTCAATCGATGCCTAACATACTCCACGAATCGCTTCAAGAACAAAAGAAAGTGATTCGCCTGCCGAATGTTTCCAGGCACCGCCTCCTTCAGAATATCATCTGGAATACATGGATTCGCCAGCCTTTCGTCGTTTGCTCTCTCTCTTTCAGCTCGTTTCAGCCCTTCAACCAATTTGTCGTATTCGTTTTGTAGTTTTTCCGAATTCGCACTTTTAATCCTTCCCACTACTTGTTCCAGATTTTGGAGCTCCTAAAAACCAGAAGAATCTGATATTTCAAAGCTTTTAGTAATGGCTGGTGCGCCTTCAGCGCAATTTAATCTAGTTTTTATTAATATACCTGCAATGCCCGATCCGCGTTCTTTTGTGAAATCGCCACTGACATTGACTCAATACAAACGTTATCGATATTATGTGCCTCGTCAAAAACCACAACTGACTTCCTACTAAAATCCTTTGACACCAGCTCAGCAATCTTTGGATCCAAAATATAGTGATAAGAGTAGACAACGATATGAGCCCTGTTGATAGCATTTCTAGCAGTAAAATAAGGACAAATCTTGCGTTCTCTGCCCAGCTGACGTAGATCCTCCAGGTTCCAGACCCCATTCTGCATTGGGAACCCGTTTGCCTCGAAGTTTTCGAAAAAATCGCATCCTTCAATTTCCGAATTCTCTTGTCGTTTCGCTCGCACCGAAGAAGACGTCAACTTCTGGCATGCCGAGTCTACCGTATTTCCAAATCTCAAAGCTGCCACTTTCTCATTGATACACAAATTCTTTCTGGCACTCATTGCTACAGTAATCTTCGCCACCGGCACCCCTGTCTCCTTCTCCCAGTAGTCATATAGCACTTTCATCTCCTCAACGCATTTCTCAATTTCTGGAATCGTTCTGGAACAATAAACCAGTTTATCCAGCCGATCGGGGTAGGAGATCATATAAGAGAGCACCAGGGAGAGGAGGGAAACCGTTTTTCCAGTTCCTGACGGCATTTCTAGCAAGCCGTGACCCTGAAAGCCTCAAATATTAGCCTCTAAAGATGCTTTAAAAGATTCTTACATTGGCATCTAGGGCCTTTTTGACTTCTTTCATATACAAAACCTGCTCCGGATAGACATAATCGTACGGGAACAGCACTTTTAGGCCATCTATATCTAACTGCATGGCTTTTTGGGATGGTTTAACTCTGAAAATTGCATTGTTTTTAAACAATTTTGAGGGATTTTACAGCTACTGAATAATAAGCAAACCACTTTCTTCTTCTCTGCGTCTCTCGTTGGCCTGCAAATTATTTAGCAGGCCACTGCGCTTCACTCAAACATTAGCAGACCAACGAGATGCAGAGAAAAGAGAGAATTGGCCTGCTAAATACTTAGCAGACCAATGCGAAACACTCAAACGTTAGCAGTCTACTTTTCTCTGCGTCTCGTAGGCCTGCTAATGATTTTGCGCGCCAAAAATACTAGCACACCCACGAGGCGCAGAGAAAAGTGGTCTGCTAATGTTTTCCGCGCACTTAAAACATTAGCAGACCAATGCTATCGTTTCTCAGCGTCTCTTCACAACATTAGCAGACCCATGCCCCGTGGGTCTGCTAATGTTTCGCGTGCCAAAAACACGAGACGCAGAGAAAAAGTGGTCTGCTAATGTTTCTAAATATTCAGCAGACCAATGCTCTCGTTTCTCTGCGTCTTTTCAAAATATTAGCAGACCCATGCCCCGTGGGCCTGCTAATGATTTCGCACGCCAAAAACATTAGCAGACCCACGAGACGCAGAGAAAAAAGGAGAATTAGCCTGCTATTCGAACATTAGCAGACCAATGTTCTCGTTTCTCTGCGTCTCTCCTTGGCCTGCTATTTAGCAGACCCAAATTTTCGTTTCCTCCATAACTTTTCTCAAAATCATCGTAGAAACATGACATTTGGACCATTTTTCAGAATTTTTTGCAAAAGCTTTCTCTGCGACTCGTTGGCCTGCTAAATATTTATCAGACCACTTTTCCAGTAAGTTTCAATTTTGAAAAAAGTAGAAATCGGTTAATTCTTATAAAACCGTCGGAGAAATGCTTTAAAACTTGCAAAAAAAGGGATTCCTTCAAAAATTTATACAATGATCTGGAATACAGAGGAAAGAGGGGAAAACGGTGCTTAATATATATAAATCAGAAAATGCTTCTTTTTTAAAGACAGACAGGGAGAGATCTGTACAGCGGGGGCGGGAAAAAGGGGCGGGGCTAGAAAACAAGATGAGAATTTTGACAAAAAATCGCGCTAGGAAAAAGGGATTTTTACAGCTAGTACAAAGAAAAACATGATTAGAGAGAAAATCGGGGGCAAGAAAACACTGGAAATGACAAAAATGTGCTAAAAATAAGCAAAAAAAAAGCTAATTATTTAGATGGTGCTCCTGGAACCTTGAGTTGCTCCGACTCTTGCGTCTTTTTGGCGAATTTGGGACGTGGCTTATTGGCGAAAAGCATGTCTCGGGAGTAGTAGAAGCCACGATTCACCCAGTGACCGTAAACACTGAACATTGATGATTCGGCTTCGTGGCGGATCTAAAAACGTATTTTTAATATCGATTAGCCCTAATTAGCCCTGATTAGCTCCTAAAACTTACATCTCTATCTCTGAATGGTCTCTTTCTGAGTACATCTCGATCAATAACCGTCTTCAGGTACTTATACTTGGCCAGCCGCTGGAAGAATCGCACCCAGATGATCGAAGTTTTGAACCTCTTCCGAGCTTTCTCGGATCTCTGATCTTTGACCAATTCCACTTGAACCGTTGGTACTGGTGCTGGCTGCTGGGCAATCGGGACCATCCACTCATGGGTGAGACATTCTTTAGAGGTGATTCTCTTCGTGACATCTACTTGAAGGAGTTGAGAGATCAGATTCTTCGCATCCGGGGTGATATTGTTCCATTGCTCGTTGCGAAACTCATATTTGCCTTGTTGGATGATTCGAAGCATCATTAGTTGTCTGAAAATTTTCTAGATGTAAAATTGATCTAAAAAGCCGGAAAATGGTCTGAAAATGGTCATAAATGTCCTAAAAAGATCCAAAAAAGAGGTTCTGAAATACCCCAAAAATGACTGAAATGAAGGTATATTTTTTAGGTTATTTCAGACATATTTTAAGGCACTTTTTAGGTAATTTTAGACCATTTTCAGGCTATTTTTAAGGAGTTTTTTTAAATTATAAAAGTATTTTGAAAACCAAAAAAAAAATCATATTCTATAGTCACATGGTCGACAGCAGACCCAATTAATTAGTTAAACACGTTTTGCCTATTTTTATGATATTTTTATGATCCTGAACGTGTGACTAACTTCCTTGTGAGAGACTAGGGAAAATTGAGAGACGCAGAGAATCTGAAACTTACTCTTCTAGGCTTTCTGTATCCGCAGAAGACGTTGCAATATTCATTACCCATGAATATGGGTAAAAAGTACAGAATTCTCTGTACTAGGAGTTACTGGGAGGTGTGAGATTGCAGAAAGGACAGGTGCACCTAATTACTATCTAGGGGCGTGGAAAAATTTGCAAAAAGCGGAATCCATATGCCCTTTGTTGGTAGTTTGAACTCCCTATAGTAGAAAAATGAGTTTGCAAATAATTAGCAGACCCAAAAATGGAATATCCGGTTTTTTAATAATTAGCAAATTCAAAAAATGGGATTTACTCACTTCCTATGATAGAATGGTGCATAACCGGCCAACAGAGTGTACATGATCACTCCCAACGCCCATTCGTCCACCTCCAGCGAATATCCCTCGGCGTTGTCGTACATTTGGCACCGAATCGTTTCCGGGGCCAGATATCCTGGAGTTCCGCATAGATCACGAAGTTTTTGACCTGGTGGGATGCGGGTGGCAAATCCAAAGTCTGAGATCACGATTCGCTCGTCGTCGATGCATAGAATGTTCTCTAGCTGGAAAAAACCTAACGTAATAGGAAAAGTGGATGGGAAGGAAAAATGGTTCAAAAATGATCTGAAATGGGCTGAAATGGCCCAACATTGTCCGAAAATAATCTGAAATGGTCTTGGAAAAATAAAAAATGTTCAAAAAAAAAGTTCAAACACAGTCTAAAACGGTCCAGAATAGGCAAAAGGGGTCTAAAAAGGTCCAAAAATAATCCAGGAATGGTCCTAAAACTGTCTAAAATTGTCTGAAAATGGTCCAAATTGAACTCAAAAAGGTCAAAAATGATTTAACATAAAATAGACCAGATTTGCAAATTTTTTGGGCCAAAATTTCATTTCCTTCACAATTCTCTTCAAAATAATCGCACAAAAGTGAAAAATGAACCGCTTTCTTCGTTTTTTGCTCACCTTTAAATCCCTATGTACAATATGTCTAGCATGCATATATTCAACTCCATCAAACAACTGCTTCATCAGTCGTCGTGCCTTCTTCTCTGACACTGTCACCGTCGCATTCAACTGATCGAATAGCTCTCCTTTCGGTGCCATTTCGAAAACCGCGAACAGAAACGATGGCGTTTGATAGAAGTCGTGGATTTTAATAATAGATGGATGTCCAATGAGTTGTCTTAAAATCTCTACTTCTGAAATTGTCTCTTCTAGAAGACGTTTCGCTTCGTGCTCGCTTTGTTTCTCGGTGGAGACGTCGACAATTTTCACAGCGAAATGTTGGCCACTTCCTTTTTCGATGCATCGGCGAACTGTTGAGGCCAGACCGCGGCCGAGGACCTGGAAAATTACAGTTTTTATAATTAGCAGACCCAAAAAATGAGATTTGTCTTTTCAAACAATTAGCAGACCAAAAAAAATGGAATTTTCAAATGATTAGCAGACCCAAACCTGGGTTTTCCATTTTTTAGAATATTTAGCAGACCCAAAACGACTGGATTCCTGTTCTTCCAAATAATTAGCAGACCCATAAATTGGATATTCGACTTCTCAATTAATTAGCAGACCCAAAACTGGGGTTTCCATTTTCAAGAATATTTAGCAGACCCAAAAAGTGTGATTTCTGTATTTAAAAAAATAATTAGGAGACCCAAGAAATGGGATTTCTATTTTTTTTTCAAATATTTACCAGACTCAAAAGTCTGATTTCTGATTTTTTCGAATAATAAGCAGACCCAAAAATTTACCTCTTTCGACTCATAGGCCGCATTGAAACCTTGTTCCTCTTGATGACTACTGTAGTTGTGTGATTCATCGGAATCCTCGTGATCCGTATCCACTACTAATACTCCCATTTTGATTTTTTGTCCCTAGAAAACCGAAAATTGCTTTTTTGGAAAAAAAAAGCTAGCAAAAATAATTAAAAAAGGCTCTCCAAACCTTAAAAACTGCAGAAAGAGAACCATTAGTAGATCAAAAATTCAAAAGATCGATATTATTTTTTAAAAGTAGAGATGGGTAGGAGAAAAGGGGGTCAAATAGAAATATTAAGACAAAAAAGAAAAACAAAGATCGGTAGAGGTAACAGCAGTAGTCTTTAGGGGGGAAAATAGAGGGGATATTTATAATATTTAAATTTAATTATTTGCAATAAACAAAAAAAATTAAAAATAAACAAACAAAATTCAAGGGAAAAAGGGGAAAATAATAGAATCTACTAAAGGAAACCTAAAATTGATATTTCTTGTGGGCTGGAAAGGGGAAAAATTGGGAGAAAGAAAGTCTGAAAGGGTAGAAATCCGCCTAGAAAATCCCCAAAAAATAGGGGAGAACCGAACGAGCAAAAACCACACAAAGAGAAATGAAAGAGCGGGGGAAAAGGGAAAAAACAAGTATAAAAATGAAAAATAATAAAGAATCTATTTGGATTCAGAAGACGTCGAAGCTGTCGAGGCGTCAGAAGTCGAAGATGTCGCCGTTTTGGGTACACCTCCTCCGAAATCAAGAGCCAATGGGAACATGCCGACGACTAGTTTGCGGAGTTTATCGTTCTGAAAAAATGTTGAGTTGGTGAATTCAAAATTTTGGTCTGCTAGATATTTAGCAGTCTAAAACTCATGAAAAATAGTATTTGGCTGATTTTTAAAGAATTTTTGGACATTTTTTAACAATTTGGAAGCTATTTTCAGGAATTTTGGGCCGATTTCAGCGATTTAAAAGCTATTTTGACGAATTTTGGCTTATTTTTGTAGGATTTTCGAACCGTTTTTACGATCATTGATCTGCTAAATATTATCCTTACCTCTTCCTTGCTCCATTTTCCATACTTTCCGTACTCGATTCCATCCTTCAGCTTGATCATCATTCTCAGGGATCTTCCGTTTACACTGGAATCTTCGACAGACTTCAGAAGCCAATTGGCCTGCGACACGGTTGGATGAAGGAAGGTTTCGGCTTCGGCATCTGAAAATTAGCCAATTTAATTTTTAATTCTTATCCCCCCCCCCCCTGTTAATACTCTAATAGAAGGGCCCGTAACTTTTAATTGTGAGCCAATTTATCTCGATTCCTGTCAAATACACAGGAGCCAAGATAAATTAGCTCAAGGTTGGCAATAAGGAGGCCTTTTTAATAGAGGTTCCATGGTATACACTTACAAGCCAATCTGGACGCAAAATCGTGTTGATTCGCAATCTTGAACTTATCGTTAAGCTTCGCAGCATCCTTCTCCTCTCCATAAACCAGCTTCACCAGCTCCTCAGCCGTTTCCCTGACCAACCCTGTCAAGTCATAGGTTGGCCACGCCTTCAAGAACTTGACCTTCTGAATATGCAACAATGGATGTTTGGGATCCCTCTTCACTCCTTCATTCAGGCATTTCAACGCCAGAAGAACCTTTTCCTTCCGTTGATAGACTTCTGCACAGAGAGCGTATCCAGTAACCTTTGGAGTTCCAAAAGTATGAATATTATTCGCAAACTTCGCAGCTTCTCCCAATGGATCCTCCGTCTTCAGAAGAGCTTCAGCATCAATCTGTGGTCCTCTCTGGAGTCCCTCCTCTTTCACCTCCTTCTCCTTCTTCTTCTTCTCCTCCTCCTCTTGCGCCTCCTTCTGTTTCTTCAGCTTCTTCTTCATTTTCTTAATCTCATTCTCTGTCATTCCCTCCTTTATCATCGCTGCATGCTCATTCATATCATCTGGTCGATCAATCATTCTCAGATAGATTTTAATTGCCAATTTCGCCGCCTGATAGTAATAATCAGCACAACGGAGCTTATCCTCCATCCGGAGAAGACGAATGTAGTAGCATAGGGTCATTTTGCGAAGGCAATAAGTGTGAAAATCGAATTGATCCTCAATCCAGGTGTTGAAATGGAATTCCACATGATGTGCTTTCCGGAGTGCCTCTCCGTACTTCCCAACTGCTCGGAACGATCGTCCACTTTCTAGCTCATACCACATACATTGCATATCCGTCAAGTGACTTGCAGCATTCTCTCCCTCTCTTGTGAACTTTGACAACATTTTGTTCGCCTCGTATGGTCGTTTCGCGCGGAGCAAGTACTTTCCACACTTTCCATTGATATATCTATCAGCTGTATCCAGCGATTGAGCCTCTTCCATCCAACGAGCAGCCTCATCATAGTCACCAGCATGCTTATAGATTCTAGCCTTGAGCATATAATTCTCAACTACAGTAGGCGTGTGTTGGATGGCTCTATCGATATGGTTCAGTGCCAGCTGTACCATATGGACACGATCGTAGTGGTAGGCAGCTAGGACGTACAACCAGAGAGCCGTGGTTGCTGGCTCGCATTCTGCAGAATTTCCTTCCAAATTCACGTTTCCATATCCCTCGTCATCCATTTTATTGACATATTCGTTGATGAGCGATTCGATGACAGCAATCTTTTGAGGATATTTGTAGAGGGGGACGAGAGAAGCGAACAGCGATGGAGCACCCTTTCGGAGCATCGGAATCATCCATTCGTGAAGGCGACGACGGAGTTCTTCACCTTCGACGAGATAGAGGGCCAGACGACGTGGTGCTGCCGCTTTTTCGTACTTTTCCGCAAGAGCATCGAGCATTGCGAGTTGGGCTTTTGGATTTTCTGAAAATATTATAGTAAGAATTGGTTTTCTAGGCGGCCAAATGAAAGAGCTATTTCTGGGCTATTATGAGCCGAGTTTGGTGGTCTGGTAATCCGGAATTTCAGACTTTTAGGCCATCAAATGATAAAGCTAAGTTAGAGCTTTCTGAAACAGGTTTCAGAATTCCTATAGCTTCCTTTTGAACCGATTTGCAGTCCTTCTAAATTAGTTGCCTAAAAACCCGAAAATTCACATTTTTCAGCCGCCAACTGATAGAGCTAATCCTGGGCTATTCTGAGCAGCTTTTAGATTCTAAAAACTTTTATTTTGGTGACCTAGAAACCCGACATTTCAGATTTCTCTACCATCAAATGATAGAGCTACATTAGAGCTTCCTAAAACAGGTTTCAGAATACCTATAGTTTCCCTTTTCAGTGATTTGTAGTGGTTTCAAATTGGTAGCCGTCCTAGATCTCTAGAACTCTTGTTGGTCTGCTAATGTTCGAACAAACGAGAAATTGGGTCTGCTATCTATTTAGCAGACCCAAATCATCCCAATCCCTAACCTTTAATGCCCATACACGTCTGCAACATATCGTAATACTCCAAACACTCGGGATTCCTCTGAATCAACGCTCTCCACACATGCTCCGCCTGTTTCGGCTGCTCCAAATCCATCAGCAGGTTGGCGCGAGTCTCCATATAGGCCACTTTGTCCACAATATGCGCCGCGTTCTCTTCCAACTTCTGAAGCGCGACGTCAGGCTGTCCAGCTTCTCGCATTATCAAATTCTGATAGAGAATCAGCTCGGAGAACTCGAAATCGTAGCCGGACGGCTGAAAAATTTTGGATTTTCCGCGGGAATCGGTCAAAAACGGCTTACTGTATTATTCTTGATGTACTCAGCAATAATTCCAAGAGCCAGAGAGTACTCTTTGAGGAGATGATGAGCAACGATGTAGCCGAGCCATGAGACACGTTGGTTTTGACGGAGACGCAGAAGATCGTATTTCGAAGCCTGGAAAATTGATTTTCAAGGGATTACATGAATAAAATGCAAAAATCATGTAAAGTAGTTCTAAAATCGCCAAAATTGGCTCCAAGGACTATTTTCAGTATTCCAAAAAAACCAAAACTTACCAAATACCCATCATAATCCCTTATATGAATTTGCAACAGCGACAAATCTCTCAAAATTTGAATGTTGTCCTTGTCAATCATCAGAGCTCTCTTATAGGCCTTAATAGCCTCGTCGTACTTCTTCTCCGTCTTCTGAATCAGTCCGTAGACGTGCCAACACACGTAGGATCTCAAATCCGACTTGAGTCCTCGCTTAACACACTCCTGAGCCTCTGTCAGCTTTCCCATACAATTCAGAATCAATCCTTTCATCGCTAGGGTCTCTCCGTGGTCCGCGAACTGGGGAGTCGAGAGGATTTGTTTGGCAAACTTGAGTCCCGTTTTGTATTGCTTCTGCTCATAGCTTTTCTGCGAATTTTGGGTAAAAATTAGGTTTTTAAATGGCTGAATTTCAAAGTTAAGACTTCAAAATTACAGAAAATTGAGAAAAACATGTTTTTTGAAATTCTTACCACAATCTTCTTGAAATATCCCAATTCTTTAACCGGCAGCGGTTGACTACTCGATTGTCCCGCTGGTGTAGGCACCATTTTACCTGAAAATAGTCAATTTGACATGTAAAAGAATTATTTTTAAAAAAGGAAAAATAGGTAAAAATCTATCATCTTGATATACTTTGAAGCAGAAAGAATACGAATTTTACCATGAAAAAAGGGATAAATCATATATTTTAACAAGAAAAAAGCTAGAATTTCAAATATTGGGAAAAATGACTGAACATAGGCGACAAATAACAAAATCAATCTTTTGGAGCCAATTGTGGGTGAAAAATATCAATTTTGGTACCAAAAATTCAGAAAATTCAATTTATCTGCTAAAAACTCAAAGGAAAAAGCGTTAAAAACTGAAAACAATTTTCTTTGAAAATCTTCAATTTCCAGACAAATTTCCAGCTCCAAAACGGCCACCTGGATTTTCAGCAAATTCCAGGTGGCAGTTCACGTGGAAATCACCAAAAAATTCTAAATTTTCCGCACTGAAAATCGAGAAAATCCGACGTGAACAAATGAGAAAATCAGTGCAAAACCGACCGAAATTCTCGGAAATTCCGGCATGGTCCGCAAACACAGCGACGCGCAATTGCACGGATTTGCTTCACTGCGTCTCCGAGTTTTGTGTGCTCTCTCGTTATTGGAAAATTTATTTTATTTAAATATATATCAGAAAATAACCTTTTTTCTGGGGGTTTTGGAGATTTCAAAATCTACAAATTGACCAATATTGGTTTTTTAAAAGAAATGAATAAATATTTGCCGTTTCTATTAGTTACAAGAAGTATATCCCTGATCTGGGAAAGAAAATCACAAAAATCAAAAAATTCCATTTTTCTAATTATAATTACATTCATTAACGAATTTCTCGAGTATCAGACTACAGTGAATATTTAAAAAATCACAGAAAAATCATTAGAAACTTAGAATAAATTGAGATCAACATCGAGAATCTATATAGTAAAGTTGCTTTAAAGAATATGAAAATTGATGAATTAAAATCATGTTTTTGGCGGGAAGACTCCATAGAAAAAGCTAGCAGGGTCGTCGGGATCCAGAGGAGATGAAGAAGTGGGCGGGTCTTCCATCGGGTCCTCATGGGAGTCGTCTAGAAAGTGTTGATGGGCGGTGACTGAAAGGAAATACATAATTAAGAGATTAGGAGCTTTGGTCTGCTAATTACTACCTCTTCTCTGTTTCCTAGACGCATCTCTCAGTGCATTGTACCTCTTCCTATCCTCCTCACTCATTCGCTTATACTTATTTCTCGCTTGCTCCGCCCGTCTTTGCCGTCGATCCTGTGCCACCTTTATCTGCCGCGCAGTTTCTGGATCCAGCTGATCCAACGGCGTCGTTTCGCACATTTTCAGAAGTTCCTCGTCTCGAGCTCTCGCTTGGCGAAGGGTAGCCGCACGACGCGCGTTCTGTTCACGACGTTGGTCTTCTGACATTCGATGATATCTGGAAGAGCTTGAAAGAGGTCTTTGAATGAAGAAGAAAGGTTCAATTTTCACTTTTCTAGGATTATTTTGAGGGAAACAAGATTTGGGTCTGCTAATGTTGCAGAGAGACGCAGGGTGAGAGAGCGTTGACCTGCTAATTAGCTAGCAGAATCACGAGAGACGGAGAGAAACGAGAGAGTTGACCTGCCCTTTCAAACATTAGCAGACCAACGCTCTCGTTTCTCTGCGTCTCGTAGGCCTGCTAATGTTCGAGTGAAGCGCATTGGCCTGCTAAATAATTAGCAGACCAATTCTCTCGTTTCTCTGCGTCTCTCTTCAATATTAGCAGACCCAAATTTGTTTTACCTTATACCTCTGCTCAAAATCCACGCAGAAATTTGAAATTTGGCTGATTTTTATTAATTTTTGCGCTGTTTTCACCACCTACGGTAGGTAGGTGACCTACCTAGCTCTTGCCCGTTCCGCCCGTCGCGCTCGCACTGCTTCTAATCGCGAATCTTCCACCGAGTCCACCTTCTCATCGTCGTCATCCTCGAAATCGCACTCTTCCTCGTGACTTGCTGTATCATTCATCTAGAATATCTCAATTAAAAAAAATAGACTCAAGAACATAATTTGGTTTACATATTGATCCAAATGCGAGGAGGTCGTTGATCCCACTTGATTGTCCTGGGTAAGGCTGGATGTCGTTGGAGGCGCATCTTGGAAGCTGTTGGTATGGAAAACTGGGGGTTTCTGCTCGGCGACACGCTGAGTGATGAACACCGTCTGGCCGTGGTTGACGTTTCGAGAGCTGGAAATCAAAAATTAGTTTCAACAGGGGCTTTAAAATCCTTACATCAAATCCCCAACCGTTCGAATCGCCTGACCATCCGAAGTCCGAACCTCGACTGGCATTCCATTCGAATCGTATCCAGTTTCAATCATTTGACGAAGCGCGTCCTCGTCGATCAATCGATTTTCAGCAGTTTCTGAAGGCACTGCCGTCGCTGAAGGCGTTGAAGAGGTGCATGGCTCGGAGGGGTCGGCGTATTCAGATGATGGGATCATCTGTGCATTGGGCAAGTCCCCTCCCATGAATGACGAGTACGGATTGAAATTTCTAGAAGAACCGGAACCTGGGTTATTCACCATTTTTCTGAAAAAAAAACGCTTTTTTGGGGTTCATAATCTTTGATTCTCACTTCAAAATTTGCGTATTCGCTTTCTTGGTCCGACGAATGACGTCACTTTCCATCTGAGCGAACACCGAGAGCTCACTATCCGCAGAATTCGCCACCTCGTTGATCACTTCGGCCATGTGGAGCTCGCAAGTCGCTTCGTCCGGCACAATGAAGTCTTCTAGTGATTGGTGTCCGATTTCAGAGGAGATCGGCATGTCTGAAAAAAAGGAGAAATTCTGCTTAAAATGAGCCAAATTTCAAGTTTCTCCGTGGATTTTGAGCAAAGTTATGAGGGAAATTAATAGATTTGGGTCTGCTAATGTTGAAGAGAGACGCAGAGAAACGAGATTACTGGTCTGCTAAACATTAAGAAACATTAGCAGACCACTTTTCTCTGCGTCTTGTTGGAGAGAAAGAGAGGGGCGTTGGCCTGCTAATGTTTAGCGCAGGCAGCGAATTGGTCTGCTAATTATTTAGCAGGCCTACGAGACGCGGAGAAGTGAGAGAGTTGGCCTGCTATTCAAACATTAGCCGACCCACGCTCTCGTTTCTCTACGTCTCGTAGGCCTGCTAATGTTCGAGTGAAGCGCATTGGCCTGCTAAATAATTGGCATACCAATTCCCTCGCTTCTCTGCGTCTCTCATTGGCCTGCTAGCTATTTAGCAGGCCTTCGAGACACAGAGAAACGAGAGCAACATTAGCAGACCCAAATCTTATGCTAAACATTAAGAAAAAATACTCATTAGCTTGATGATTTTTTGCTAAATGCTCACTTGCTAAATATGCTCCTGAGCTAAACTCGCTCATTTGCTAAAATAGCCTCACTTGCTAAATTTCATTTGCTAAATTTTGATCATGCTTGTAACGGGATGGGCCGGGCTTTTTCCCGAATTTCGGAGGCCCGGCCCGGCCCGGCGGGCCTGTCATTCCACAAGTTTTGAAAATTTCAAAATTTTGAAAATTTCAAAATTTTTTTTTCGATCAAAAATTTTTTTTCGAGTTTTTTTGATATTTTTTGATCAAACAGACAAACAATCCAAAAAGCACAAAAAAATATAGAAAATTGTATTGAGAGCTCAAAATTCGGTTCAAAATGACAAAAATTTTTGCTACCGGGCCCGGGCCTTGAAATTTTCCACAGGCCCGGCCCGGCCCGGGCCCGGGCTTTGGCGGGCCGGCCCGGAATTTTACAAGTATGATTTTGATCATTTGCTAAATAGGGGACTTGTTCAAATTGAAGGCTTAGGCTGAAACTCCTTACCGGAAAACAGGTGTTAAAGCCTAAGCCTGAAATTTAAAGCAAAAACCGGAATGTTCTGTAAAAAAATCAGTCATGAAATTCGGTTTGAAATTGCTTATTTTTGAGCCAAACTTCAACGTTTCAGAGAGTTCCCCTACCTCCCAAATCGCTCATGTCCAAATGATCCTCGTCCTCCTCTTCATCCTCTTGCTCATCATCCACATCCTCATCATCCTCAAACGGCTCTTCAGTAGCTCCTCCAGATTCCAATGCCGCTAAAAAGTTCTCCGGAAAATCAACATGTTCAGTATTAATATATTTTCTAGTCCTTTTTGTCGCCGCTCGTCGTAGATTATACGCTTTTCGTTGCTCCACTGTCATCCTTTGATATCTAAGTCTCGCAGATTCCGCTTTCCGCGCGTTTCGCACCATAATCTGCTGCGCTTTTGCCAGCGCTTCAGCCGAAATTCGCCCTGCTGGCGTCGACAACAACTTCTCCTCTTCCTCCCGGCGTCTTCTGAATGCTTCCGTCCGACGTTGATTGTAATCTTTTCGTTGCTCAGGTGTCATTCTATGGTATCTTTGACGTGCCGCTTCCGCTTTTCTAGCGTTCGCTTGTCGAGCTTGAGTTTTAACAAGATTATCCAGAGGGCCAGGGTTACTTTCATTAGTCGGATCCACTCCCATTTGACGCATTCTTCGTCTTTGATTATAGATCTTTCGCTCGTTCTCCGTCATTCTCTGATATCTGGATCTCGCTTGGGCCGCCCGTCGCTGTCTAGTATGCTCATCTCGATATTTTGAAGCCATTTTGTGCCGCTCCTCCTCAATTTGTCCCTGAATATCGCTCATATCAGCTGTCTCATGCATTAGAGTATCCAAGTCTTCGTCAGCTTTCGATCTGCTGCTTAATGGATGAGAAGTTACGTAGGCTTCAGTGGATGACACGTCTGATGGATTCTTGTCATCACCCACCAAAAAGTTATCGATGTAGGCGTTCATGTGACCTGGTTCTACGACGGAGGGCGGATTCTGAAAAAAAATTAACGAAAATGGGTCGAATTTCAGGTTTATACGTGGATTTTGAGAGGAGTTATTGGGGAAAATGAGATTTGGGTCTGCTAAATGTTTAGCAGACCCCAAATCTCATTTTCCCCAATAACTCCTCTCAAAATCCACGTATAAACCTGAAATTCGACCCATTTTCGTTAATTTTTTTTCAGAATCCGCCCTCCGTCGTAGAACCAGGTCACATGAACGCCTACATCGATAACTTTTTGGTGGGTGATGACAAGAATCCATCAGACGTGTCATCCACTGAAGCCTACGTAACTTCTCATCCATTAAGCAGCAGATCGAAAGCTGACGAAGACTTGGATACTCTAATGCATGAGACAGCTGATATGAGCGATATTCAGGGACAAATTGA